GAGCAAAGGTGATTTTTCTATTTAGTTGATTATTTGTTGATTTTAAGGTTGGTTTATAATCATTAGATGATAACTAAGCTTAAGGAAAGCTTAAGTTATCTTATAATCAAAAGATGAAGAAGTTATGAAAGATTAAAGTGAAGGAGTTTATAAATGAATTTTTGGAAAAGAGTGATAAGTTGAATTTGAAGTTAAATTTGACTTGTCATCAGCTTAATTAAGAAATATGAAGTGATAGAATTGAAATTAGAACATATTGAAAATTTCGGTATGATTATTGATTCTATATGAAAGATGGAATTTTGAGGTTTAAGATGAGATAAATGGATATAAATTGATTTAAGTATGTGTATTTGAGTTAATAATATGAAAGGGGATGAAACATGAAGAATTGAAGCTGGAAATAGTGAATTTTCGTGCTTGAATAGTGATTTCTGGGTAAAATTTACAGATTTACCTCAGTTAGGGGTGTACTGATACCCTATAGAGGGTACCGATACCTATTTTAAACAAGAAATGAAAATAACCTTTCTTTTAGTTTAAGAAATGAGAGATTAGAGTATATCAATTAGAATACTAATATGGATCCATGTATTATTATGTAGATATAGAACGTAAGCTTGTTCCGGAATAATCAAAGAATTAGGATCAAGTCAAAGCAATGAAGGCTAAGGTGAGTGCAAATTAATTTGTACTTATGTTATTGAACGAACATTGGCTTGCGATGAGCCAGTGATGGAGTTGCTATGGTAAGAAGTGACTCATAAAATGTTATTTGATTTGTGATTCTTATATGTGCATGAATACATGAAAATGGGTATAGGATATTATATGTGACATGATCTACATGCTTACATGGATATAAAATATGTATTATATGTTATATGAAATGACATAGATGGTTACACATACATATGGTATGTGACAGAAGAAAATGTATATGTGATCACAAGAGAAATGACATGAGTACATGAACATATGAAACATAAGAATAATGTCCATGGTATATGATACGAGAGCTATAGGTATAGTTGGCATGCCAAGAGTCGAGGGTCTACGCGGTCTTTCGGTACATATACAGAGGTCCTTCGGGACAAATACATAGGTCATTCGGGACAAATTTCACATGCCTCTAGTGGGACCCCATACGAGCTGTGGTGACAGCATAAGTGCACAACCTCAATGTACTCGAATACCTTAAGTTCTCAGTAATGTATATGGGCTTACAAAAGGTATAAAAGTGTTTGCATTATTATTATATGTTATCATGTTATTATTATTTACATGGAATCATATATGACATGATTGAATAAGTAGAATGATATGTTCATATTTACATGAAATGCATCATTATTAATGTTATGCCTCACTAAGTCTATGACTTAGCGTGTAAGTGATTTACACGTAGGTACTGAAAAGCGAGAGGATCAAAGCTAAGCAACAGAACAACATATCTTCACTTGAAGATTAGATCAGAAGTAAATTACACAGTATGTTTTGTTATGTAATATATAGGTTGGCATGTAAACAAAGTCGGTAAATTAAGTATGTGTGCTCTGATCGAGTTTTGGGAATGTTTTAAACGTATTTATGTAAATGGTAAATGTATAGTTATGAAAGTTTAAATTTTATGAGTTTTATATAAGTGGAACGAAATTACTGTAGCAAGGGTATCGGTACACTGTAGCAGGGTATCGATACCCCTGTAGCATTCTGGAAAATTTTTAACATCGATATTGTTCACTATAATGTTCATCACTGTTCACGGTACTATTTAAACAATATCGATACTATTCATATCGTATAGTACTATTCATAAAAACGTTTTTCTTCAAATTTGTTATAATAAAACATAATTCGATAGTATATTATTGTATTTTCTTAATATAATTCAAATATTCTGTTATTTGGTAAAAACATTGTTTTGAAACGTCAATGTGACACTTCGGATTCGTATCCGGGTCGGGTACGGGTTGGGGGTGTTACAGATTTTATCATATCTCACTCAACAAGTTAACATCCAGCTCAGAAGATCGTTAATTTTTTTAGAGAAAATAACGAAGTATGGAGCTTATGAATAGTCGAATGACCATTTTGTAACTTTTAATAATCAAAAGACTCAACAAAGTAATACCCTATAGTCGGGGACCATTTTTATACTTTACCCATTAATTTATTAACTCGAGTATATATTCAGCTTATAATAAGTACTTTCAAAACTTTCTTTTTGGGTTAATATATTATTGATACTTTAAGCTTAGTTCTGATATTTATTTTTTTATTCGATTTAATACATGAATCAAATTTTAATGTTGAGTTTAAATAATTATACCAACAACCCAATGACTATTTCACATGGTGCTTAATTAAAAACATAAATACGATAGAAAATTTAAATATTGAATATTTATTCAATAACTATACATATTATTGAATATTTTGATATCACGTTCATAATTATATATATGTAGATAAATGTTTTTATGTTCAACTTAATCACTTTTAGCACGAACTAAGTGGTCTCGGTGATAAAGAAATTATTGTTATTCCTTAATGTTCCGAGTTTGAGTACCATGAATGTTAGGGGTGTGAGCGTTCAATATAAAATGATTGAGAGTTATCTTTAAACATATATTACCTTGTACTTATATCAGATTAATAAAATAAAAAACTTAATGAATTCTATTAAAAATATGATATCTTATTAGGATTAATCTTCAATACACTGTCAATATAATATTATTTTAAAGATAAATAAATGTTGGGATTACATTATAAAAAAAGTTTGAGATTTTCTACACGTAATAATTTATTTGAATAAAATATAGCAATTATAAGTTATTTAGTTAAATAGTATATTATGATGCACATGATTTAGTAAAGCTAAATGGAAAGAAAGAGTGAGACGAAGTAGTTGCGAGGAATGTGGAATTGCGGAAGAATTAAGCATCGGACCAAAAGTAGCTATCGGTAAACATCGATGGGATGATTACCGGTGAACTACTTGTCGCATTTGTTGGTAAATGCATGCATTGGCGGGTTTAAATGCCAAATTCCCCAACAAGTCTTCATTAATACCATCTTCCATTAACGCCAAACAACATTAACCCTTTCAAACTAGTTTTTCATCTCATCCGCTCTGCCTCATTTTATAGGACGGCAACAAGGACAAATGGATGGATAATAGACGAATGTAAGATTTAATGACAGGGGAGTGGGTTTTTAAAATCTTAAAAGAAAATGAATTAAAAAGTTATAAAGAAGTGAAAACATATTTAGATTGTATGAGGTTTACAATGCGAATTGAAAATATATTTTATGTTAAAAAATATATATTATTTAATAAAAATAAAAAATTAGAATCAAAATAAATCTGAAGTCAAATTTTTATATTTAAATTTTTAAATTTTTCTTGTTTTTTCGAAATGATTGGAGAAATAGAGTCTAACGTGGCCTTAATGTTTTGCTGAGACAAATTGTATGAAGTTCACGAGACATTGTAGTTGAAAACGTGGGAGAATGTGTGGAAAGTTTGGGCCAAAACGGAAAGCAAAGGGCAAAAAAGGGAAAAGGAAAGGTCTGGGTGACGTTAGGGTAGGCATAAGCAGAAGAGGCAAAAGGTCTCTCCCACGTGCCGGATGTGGCTTTTGGCTACGGTCAAATGCCGGTGCCAATACTGCCACGTGTATGCCTAATATTCCAAAAAATATCAAGTTTGAATGTTTGACCGTTTCATTTTCCTCTTTTATCATCATCCCAAAAAAGGCACCCGTTTGATCATAACAGGATAGGGTTGTTCATTAGGTTAATTCGGTGGTCAAACCGATCGAATTACTATTAATCGAATTAATTAAATTTTTTTTCTTTAACCATTAATCGAATTGAACTTTTTTAAAAAATATTAACTGAACCGAATAAATTTCGATTAATTTTCAAATTAACAGAAAATTTTTAAAATTTTCTAATTTATATAAAAATTAAATATTTTATAATTCAAAAAACAATTTATAATTAATTTAAATAATATATAATTATAAAATAAAAATTTTATATAAATTTTTTAATTAATTAATATTCATATAGGTTTAAAAGTTATTGGATCTTAAATTATTAATTGAGTTTTAAATGGTTTGGGCTGATCCCATATGTTATATGTAATATTTTTAATTCAGAAAAACATTTTACAATTAATTTAAATAATATATAATTATAAAATAAAAATTTTATATAAAATTTTTAATTAATTAATATTGATTTAGGTTTAAAAGTTATTAGATCTTAAATTATTAATTGAATTTTAAATGGTTTGGGTTGAACCCATACGTTATATATAATTTATTTAATATTTAAAATTTTATTTCGGTTAATTAACCGATTTCAAATCGAATTAACCGTTAACCGAATATCTAAAAAAACCTTAACCGTTTTCCGATCGAATTAATTCGGTGACCGACCGAATTAACCGAATTAATTATGTTCGATCGATTAATTCGATTAAAACCAAATTTTAAACACCTCTTGGTTATGATATTCTTCGCTTTCTCCTCCTCCGCCTTCCCACTCTCCTTGCCGCCTTCTTTCTCTTATCTTTTAGATGACAAGTGTTTCCCAATTGCAAACTTTAACATTTATAGGTTTCTTAAATTTATTTTCCTTCAGAAACATATTAATAAAATAATAAATAAATGTATGTCTAAAATATAAAAAAAAATAATAATAATAAAGTTAATATATATCTAAAATATACATTTATGACTGGAAATGTTTCCATACTAGAAGCCACCTTTTGCTCTTCTCATCGGAAGATGTTTTGTCAAACCTTTCTTTATACGGTGGTTCATATATCTTTATATTTCTATATTTTCATCCTGACCCCTTTTTTTCCATATAAATATTACATATATAATTCAAACAACGTAAAGATATATGGAACCAAACCACAAGCAAATATTTGAGACCTCACCTTTCTTTTCTACCCTCGTTGTTCTTTTGTATTTTGTGTTCATAATTTCTCCATGTCGGATTTTAGAGACTTGTACTACCAGACGAGTGCATTCAACAATGATCACGATCAGCAAAGTTTTGGGGGTGAAACTGATAGCATCTATAGGGTTTCGTCATCCTCAGTTGATCCTTCAATCATGAGCTTCACTGATTGTTTACACAGTACTTCCATGGACTACGGTTCACTTGAAATGGCTCTTGGTTTGTCACCGTCATCGTCTGAAGTGTTTTCTTCGGTCGAAGGAAGTAACCGGACGACGAAGCAGCAGATCGGTGAGGAGGATTTAGGAGGCGGTACCCGTGAAGTTATGGGGACTATTAATTCTTCTGTTTCTTCTTCATCCGGCGAGGCTGGTTGTGAAGAAGATTCAGGCAAGAGTAAGAAAGATGGGCAGCCAAAAGGATCGGAAGATGGAGGTGAAAACTCAAAGAAAGGGTAAATTAACAAGTTTTTTTGGCTTCATTTTCATAGTATTGATAACGAATCTTGAGGTGTAAGTGTAATTGTTTATTGTATCTAACAGGAACAAAGCGAAAACTGAAGGAGAGAAAAAGCAAAGGGAACCACGATTTGCTTTCATGACTAAAAGTGAAGTTGATCATCTTGAAGACGGGTATAGATGGAGAAAATATGGACAAAAAGCTGTGAAGCACAGCCCATATCCGAGGTTTGGTTCTTTCTTTTTCTTAATTTACAACCAAAACAAATGTTGAAAACAATCTTCATCTTTTAGACAATTCAAAAAACTACCTGCAAAACCATGTCTGAAACCATCATCTTTGCATTACATCGCCCCCTTCTTTTGACTACACCAAGAAGAGTCAATATATGAAGCTTAAACTGCAAGCAATAACTTGAGGGCTTCAGTATTTGTCTTTGCAAGTTATGGAAACAAACACAAGCTTGTTGTGCAACTACTTTATCATTAGCTAAGGCAAAATATTTATGGGTTTTATTTAATCAATGCAGAAGCTACTACAGGTGCACAACACAAAAGTGTACGGTGAAGAAGAGATTTGAAAGGTCATTCCAGGATCCGTCGACTGTTATCACAACATACGAAGGTCAACACAACCACCCACTTCCGACGACACTGAGAGGAAGCGCGGCTGGTCTATTTCCACCTTCCATGTTAACCCAATCGCCACTGGGGCGAGCAAACTTCCCACACGAATTGCTCATGCAGATGCCTAATTATCACCATCAGATGAATAACCAAGCCACTGCTGGTTCAATGTTTGTACAAAACGTTAGCCATTTTCAGCAGTACCTCCACCACCAGGCTCCAGACTATGGACTTCTTCAAGACATGGTTCCTTCCATGTTCCTTAAACATGAACCATGAGTCTCCAACTCTCTTAGTTCTATATCTTTTTACAGTATGTATATATATACGTATATACGTGTGATTTAGCTAATTTTATTACTAGCTTCATCTAACTTCTCTCTAGAGCCTAAGAATTATTCTTCAATTACTAGTCTGAAAGGGCCTAGCCCTAACACCAAGGACTAGACGGGAGTGAGATTTTTCTTTCTTTTTTTCCACTTAAAACTTGGTTGAGACTGTCGCATAGATTTAGAGGAAAAAGCTTCTTTGATAGAGGTATGGTTGGTTTTTGAAGAAGAAACCTGGTTTTAAGAGGATTTGCAGACTTGTAATACTGGATTAATAATAAAGCTGCATGTTTGTTTATCATTGTCGTTGATGGAATTATTGTTGCAGAATTTGAAAGTAATAAATTAATTTCCTTTAGTAGGAGTATTCCCCCCCCGCCTTGTGCTGGCTATCTAGCTTATAACCTGAATAACAAAGAGTCGTCCTGCATGATATTGATGGCTGGATCCTCATATTCAAATAAAATGAGCCTCCTACTCAAATTGTGAAAACCTAATTATTTTAAACGCCGCATGTCACACGAAAATGAATATAAAATGAAAACTAAATATAAAATATGATATTATCAAGCTATAAAATAGTAAGAATATATCAACCATTTTTATATTGTTTATAATACCTTTCAATTTCCATAACATAAATATGGTACAGGTACATGAATTATTTGATCTAAAATTTCATGGCAAATGACCTAACATTCCTCTAATTTGATATTTTATGTAGTGACCCTGTTTAGTGTTTAGAACCTTTTTTCCTCGGTGTTCGTACAAAATAAGTATATAGTAGGGTTAGTTAATTGAATTTAATGTAAGTGCCTATAATTTATGATATTTTTAAATTTGACTTGAGATACGTAGAAGCCACGTTTTCAGTAAAGTCTTGAACGAAATTATGGGAGATTAGTTTCGTGGGAGATCACCAAATTCAAGGGGGTCAAAAATACAAAACATATAGCTGATAATAATAATAATATGATCCATCTCCTCCTTCAGCCCCGCCTAATTAAAATATTTTATTCCTTTTACTTGGATTATTGTGAAGTTTCGGGATATTTAGTTCGTGAAAAAATTATTACTAAGAAAAAAAAATTATGATGATATTTTCACGTTTGGTTTATGAAAAAAATTATCATCAGATAATAAATTATTATCAATAGTATATTTTTTATTAAAATTATGAAAATAAATTACCTCTAAATTCTTAGGTATTATTACACAATTTTCATCATTTAATTTTGAACAAAAATACTCCTGAAATAACGAATTATTTTCATATGGATGATTCTCAATTCTTATTCTTCGTGTTTTATTCAAAACTATAAATATAATAATAATATATAAAGAGTTTGATTGAGTAAAATATTGATAAATTTGAGTATTTAAAATTATTTAAAATTCTTAATGTTTAATATTTTAATCATTTATAATTTATTAAGGTGAAAATTTATATTATTGTAAAAAATGTAATTGTTTACAATAATAGTTAACTTTGAGTTATTAAAAATGGTTCTTATAGAAAAAATGGATCATATACATTGAAAAATAATATCTTTGTCCATTCGAGATCACAACATTATTTTTTTCATATTATATTATATTTTATGTAAATAAATATGATGCTTATGAAAATTATTTAAAAATATAAGTTTGACATGCTAATTATATTAATTATATATTCAATATATTTTTTCTCAAAAGTTAGATGGTGTGACGGTTAAAATATTTCTATGAATTTTCATTCAAATATTTATAACTTAATATTAAAATTTAACTTTTTTTTAAAAATATATATCACAAGGATAATTTGATAAAATATACATTCAAGTAACCTTATATACCTCTAACCAAATATGGTAATATTACATTCTTGCTAAATAAACTAAATATGTAATACAACATTTTTAAAGTAAGGTTATATTCTAATAATTTTATTTTTAAAAATAATTTTATATTTCGTGAACCATATTACCTTATATGCAAAAAGACGATTAATGGGCTGTCAAAATGGATCAAACTAATGCATCTGCACGTCATTTTCAAGCCCAAACAAAAAGGGGGAAATGGAGGAATATGCAGCGATGGTGGCTATAATTCTTTATTGGTTGCCTTCTTGGTTTCCAAGATTTTACCTTGATTAATCTGAATCGATTCGGGTTGCACACCTATATGTGGTAAGTGAGTCTTTCAGTGGGGATTTTCTGCATATATAATGACTCGAATTCGAGACATGTTTAAGAGATGTCAAGCTGCTTACCACTTGAACCAATCTCGTTGGTTATGATAGCTATAATTTAATGGCGGTGCTTGTAATACCCCAAAATTTGCTTAGTGACCAAAATGTAAGTTTTGAAAGTTTAGTGATCAGAGTATAAAATTGGGTAAAGTTTAGGGACCTAAGTGATAATTTTCCCAAAAATAATTTTTATTCTATAAATAGATAGTTTACTCTGGAGAGTGGGGCTTTATTAAAATCAAATTCTTGATCCAAAATTTATGTTGAAAACTAGAAATGGTTAAAGTCCGATAAGAAATCGGTCAATTGGATCAAACAGAAATTTCGAGAAAAATTAAAGGATGATAAATTAGGCTTAAAAATATTATTTCCACATGTTAAAATGATGGAAAATAATATGGACCATTGGATTTGAGAACTTATTTTCATGTTTAATTTGGATCGTTGGATCAAAGTGGCAAGATTGTAATTTTTGGAAATTTGATAGGTAAAATTGGAAAAAGGTTAAAATATTTTGTTCATCTTTGACTTTGTAAAGATGATAAGGTTATGTGGCTTGGTATTATTGTAAATATCAAGTTTCATTAATGGCAAAATGGATATTTCTCATTAAATGAATATTTTATTCAATTAAACTTAAATAAAGGTTAAATTAACATGAAATTAAAGGAAAAATTCATGAAGTTAGGTATTTTTAGCCATCATTGTCGTGACCTTCAAACTCTTGGTAAGGAATTTTTTTTAAGCAATTTTTTTTGTATTTTGGTTAATGCCGTGAAATAGAAAATTGTTCTATTCGAAAAATGCTATCATTTGGCACCTTTATTGCTTGCTAATTTGGTTTTTGTTCAAAGATCCCAAATTCTATGATTTATGCTCATATTAGGGTTTATGGAATTGATGAAGGATTTTGATTTTTTGAGGTTGTAGAATCATATACAAACACGATTGATGATTAAATTCACTTGTACATGGCTATATAAGTTCATTATGAATTCGGCCAAACCCTATCTTTAGGGGAAAGAAGTGTTTTGATGAAAATTGATTAGAGATTTGATTTTAGAAGTCTTGAAACATCGAATCGAGTTTTATTTCATGTTCGGGTCTAGTAAAAAACTTGAAACCCTAAAGTACATACCATTTGGCCTTGAGAAAATAAGTTGGGAAAATTTGTAGAAAAATTCCCATGAGTTAGAAACGATATTTTGAAGGTTCTAAAACCCTTAGAATAATGTTTGGGCCATTTTGTAATGTTTCAAAAGTTAGGAGATCAATTTAGCATTTTTGAAAAGTTATGGGTTGAATGTGTAATTACTCAATAGTTGTTGTGCATTGCTGGAATTTACTGTTTTGGGGATGAAATTGAAGTTAAAATATAAAATTCAACCATTTTGAAAAGTTGACAAAGTTTAAGTACAAAATGCCAAATGTTGAAAAAGTTAGTGACTTATGTAGTAAAAATATTTGTTGAGGTACTTATTGGAAATTTAAAATGCTGGAAATTTATTTGGTTTATTTAAGGCTTGAATTGAAGGAAATTATGGCAAGGGCCCATTATGATTAAAAAGAAAAAATTAAGATGAATTTTATAAGAATTCGAAGATAATAGTACCCTTGAGTGTTATTATTATGTATAAAATGTTAGTATGAATAGTAACATGTAATTTATAGTTGTATGTGTTTGTATGGATGTTCATGTAGATCGTGATCGAACTCGTGATACGAGCAAAGCGAAAGGCAAGGAAAATTTTCAAAAATAATCGGATTTCGATAGTAAGGCATACTATGTGAGTGCAATTATTATGTACTTATATGATATGAGGATGACTTGGGATGAGTCAACCTCGAATGTTTTTATAAAAGCATGTTTTACCGTATTTTGAAATATTTTCATAAAGTTTATGAAAATGATTTTACGAATAATTTTATGGTATGAACTGCCCTAAGATAGATATATGAACTTTTATATTGTTTTAACAGTTATCTATGTTCCAGAATAAATGTTTAATATGCGAATTTGATTTAAAGGCATATTGTACGTGCATCAAGAGTCATAGGTGCATTTTGACATACTTGGAGTATGATGATTATCGATCGATTTTGTTTAATTCATACGTTGCATTTTCGTATCAGTATATTTGTGTACTTTCATCACTATGTGTGCATGCATGGTATTCATAATGAGTTTGTGAATTACCATTTCAATATATTAGTATAGTGTCGCTATTACTACAATACATATACTTTCGTTTAGCACTTATGTGTAACTCTTGTACCTTGCATTCTCATTTAACATACGTTGGGCTATGAAAGAATACTTTTGAATATATTGATTGATAGATATGTTGTAGTTACTAAATATTGTTTCGCATGTTATTTGATGGAAACTTGACTTATCAAGTCAGTTTTTATGTATTTTATATGATAAATCATATTTTGATCTTATAATGATTTACTCGTGTTTTTTAAATGTCTTATTTGTTTTATTATGCCTCACTAAGTGAATAATTAGCGTGTGATAATTTTCACGCGTATATTTATTATACGAATCGGAGTGAGGAGTGCAACTAATATCATTTGTCAATGGTTGCCATATCAGTAACAGTATAACATCTCTAGATGTTTATTTTGATATTACTAGTTGACATGTACTTAGATATGTTGTGATGCTCTAATAAGATACTTGATATTTGATTGTAGTATTATATTACGTTTGAACTTAAACTACTGTTAGATGGATTTTAAACATTATATATATATATATTTGAATAACGTTTTATAAACTAAATTATTAAAATGTTTATTTAAAGAAACAAAATTTTACTAGTTTTTAAATACGAAAATATTTTAAAAGTCACGTGACATCTGTGACTCGTGTACGAAGACTTATACGAAAACGGGCGTGACAATACTTGAGAGAAGTATGTTGTAGTGAATGGTGGTGGTAGCCGGAAGAGAAGGAAGTGGTATTAGTGACTGAGATTGACGATGGTAAACCAGGCAGATAGGATTAAACTAAAAAAAAAATTAAATGTCATTTTACTTTTATTATTAAAGTTGGATTTTTTAATTATAA